ATAGGCGTCGGATCAGATGTAGGTAGGGCGGAATTAAAAAAAATCACAAAATCAAAATCAAAGTAAAATAATAAAATAAAAGGGCATTAATAACAAATATAATAAAAAATAAAATTAAAATAAGTTTATAGCCAAAATAATTAAAGCCCGTACACTACATCAGATTTTAATCAGATTGAGCCTACCGGTACATTTATAGAGTTGTTTCAAAAAGCGCCCTCTATGGCCCATTTAAACAATTTTGATGGCCTAGTGTCCCATGCGTACAACAAATTTTAGCGTGTTAAATGGTTCAGTTTTCAAAACCGCAAATGCCCGTTTGCCACTAAAAATCAGTTTAGTAATAATTATGCGAATTCAAAATCGAGTTAAACTATTATTGAAAACAATTAATGATAACAATTGACAAAATTTATTCCAAATGGTTGGACTCGAGAGATTCCATTGGAAAGTACACTTGCTAAATTATCCATACAAAAGACCTTATTCTGCATTACCTAATAAGGCAACATTTGATTAATTGTGTTTCCAGACAAGAACAGAAAAGAAGAAAATCACAATTTCATTACAACAAATTGCATCAGATGACTCAGAAGTTGTCAATGATTTTTAAATTTGATTTTCCTCCGTCTGTTGCAGACAAAAACGACTCGTGGGACTAGGTAAGGGTTGTAGGACTAGGAAATCACAGTTTCTACTACAAGATAAATCAATTTAGCATAGATAATTTTTTTCTGTTCATAATTTCGATGCAGTATAAATTTTGGCAATTTTAACGAGTAGGGCTACGATTTCAAACAATAAATAAAATTTGGGTAGCAATCAACATCCAGTTGGTAGCAGACTACTGGAGTCTGCTTACAACCATGTTTGTACATACTTAAGTAAAATAACCCTCTTCCCTTTCGATGCATGGTAACCTACATATCAAACACCAAAACAATTGTATTAATAATTTTCAAGAAAATGACATTTTTAACTGAACCTGAGACGTAGGTGATGTTAAACTGGAAAAATTCAGACAGAGTTGTAGCACGACAACACAGAAATTGATCAGTCCAATCGTGTCCAAGATATGGGTGCGAACATATGGACAGAAGCAGGTGAAGTGCTGTTATTTGGACTTTGTTTGACCAGGTGGATTTAGACCATTAATTACCAAAAGAACATATATACATATTGATTCAAATATCTTTATTAATTAATATATGTATTTATATACCTTTGATAGTAAATTTAAGTGCTTAAGTAACAAAATAAAAAGATTTAGAAATGCTACAAGATTGATGTCAAACAACAGAAACTTGTGTCATTAGGAATATTCCATGCATTCCATGCAAGGAAACATTCATACCATATACACTAATTACAGTTGATTACCAGACATAGTGTTAAAACAATGGCATGCTAAAGACTTGTTCATTCATTCATTCAAATCATGAAGCTCACACCAGTTACATCATTCAACAATCATGTGTGGAAGAATCTAAAGAGTAAGAATGAATTTCATGAAATCAATATTCTTAAAAACTTTAAAAATTAGCTAATTTCTAACAAACACACATTGCCATTCCATGCCTTGCAACACAAGCGCCAAAAACATACAACTGTAGCTTTCACTCTTTTGAAAAAAAAGATAAAAATACTAAGTATTTTTAATAAAATTACAAAATTCATATAATACATTGTTAACAATTTATTTTATAGCCATAATATAGCAATCAATACATCATACAAGCCATAATGTTATTCAACTTAAGTAGAGGTTGTGTAATATACTAATTATCAAAACATGTCATTGTGCATAGACTAAATCAGGGTTACTAGAAAAACATGAGGAGACACACATATTGGGAGGGGGCAATGTCCATAATGACATCACCGATTAAGAAATATTTACCTTAATATATATATATATATATATATATAGTATATAGACTAAATGTTATATTCAAAAGCTGTACAATCCAAAAACAGTATAGGGACAAACAAAAGTATGATGAGTATACAATACTCACGATGCATTAAAAAGTTATTTTACAACCATCCTTTTAGTTGTTGGGACTACATTTGTGAAAAAAATATCTAGCTTAGTAATAAATAACCAGGTAGTATTTCTTTCTATCCTTTTGCGTTTATAAGGTGGATGTGATGAGTGGATGTTTTGTGTGGAATGACACCTTGCTTGCCAACATTTTCTTCAACCACAGAGTCTTTACTATTTCGCAATCATGAAGGAAGGCGTGAAGACAAAGATGCTGCTAATAAATATATTCGAATATGTCCCAAAAGCAACATTTGACTTTTTCATAATTTTCTCTTCCTACAAAACCTAGATAAGAGGGTTTTAACATGGATTACCATTGGCCTTATTTGTGTGTGTGTATTCAGATGCTTTATAATTACAGTTTAAATTTAGATGAGTCTGCACAAGCATTATCATTTATTCATCACAATCACACTGACAAGCAATTTACACAATTCTTTTCAATGGTCTATGTGCGAACTATCCAGCTTATGAAATATCACATTCTTTACACCATTTCCCGAAATTTTCTCCTGAGATTGATGATAAATAATGAGAAGTGGCTGGTCTTGTTTAACTTCACCACCATCTCATCAAGTCCTTCCACGGCAGGATCACATTCCGTAACTGAAAAACAATCAAGTCAGTAGTGTAATAAGCAAGTAGTAGACAGAAAAGCATCATCCTGGTAATATACAGAAAGTTCAAACATGTGTACTACTATATTTGCTCTATTAGAAGCACGGGTGCTTATGTCTATACCTTGTTTCTAAAATAAAATCTTTTTAAAAATTAAAGAACTGAGAACCTTGTTACAGAAATAGTTTCTTTTGATAATTCTTGATAAAAAAATCAAGTCTACAGATTATCCAAGAACACCTAAGGTCATACCATATATGGTCATCAAAATAATGAAGAAAATAAAACCGACCAGCGTGAAAATGGTAAAATACTGCACGAGTTAAAAAGAAGGTTTTATTTTGTTCATTTTGCATTTTTATACTGTTTGCAACATCACATTTTATTGTGAGTTTTGTGTATGGTCATCAAATATGTTGATCATATCTGGATTGCAATGTACTCAATACAACACTGGGGGAATCTGCAATATGACTTTGTACCAACGAATAGCCAGACACTGGTAACCAACTATATCCCTCACCAGCACTATGTGCTGGGAAATAATAAGTGTGACGCATTTTGTATAATTTGATATTTATAGACGTGTGTATTATTTGTATGCCAATAGACTTACACGAGAGGGCGTTAATAATGATTGAATTTACTGGAGCTTAAGGAGTCTTTGTCCACTATAAATGTAGGTCACAGGTCAATTTCAATTAGTCGTCTATTATCACCAAGGCTGGACACATGGCTAATCACCAACATCTTGCCACGTGGAGGCATGCAGTTGCTTCGTTACGAGTTCCCAAAGACAGATTGTTTCACATCAAGCCGAATTAAAGACAATGTACAGTTTCACTATGTCATTCCACGGACGTTTGTAAGAACTGCATCCTCTCTCTCAGCAAGATTTACAAGAACTCACTGCCGTCCAGCAATCACGTCGCAATTGTTCAAGCCGAAGATTGGGCCACGTGTTGTTGTTTTTTTGTATTTTTTTAAATGTTTTTGTGCCAGGCGACAGTTCCGGACATTGAATGTCACTGTTGTCTCTCCTGACGTTTTTTTTTTTTTTGTAAGTGCAAATTGCAAGTGCTAGTTCTGACACATAGTGCAATTTGCCACAGAAGTCATTTCCTGTTTGGGACTACATGACAGGGCTGTGTGGCCATCTCAATTTTAATGCGCTATCCTGGCGTCAACCAGGCCCGGTCGAACACAAGCACCTGCGGACCTTAACCAAGGTTCCCCCAAAGTCGCATTCGTTAGTGAATGAATCTCGGCCAGTGGAATTGGCCTTCCCATTGAGTCTGTGGCACACTCACCCTAAGGTAGGGGTCGACCCTGTGATGTTCAGCCTAAGGTAGGATTTGAACTTGGGTCTACCGATCATGATTCTGATGCGACAACCACTATGCTACCAGTGACCGGCCACGTGTTGTTTGCGTCGAAAAGATTGACTTTTGAAACTAGGTATTTTAGTGTCCATATCATTTTATGACTCCAGGCGACTGTAAATGTATTTTCTTTGCGTTGTCTAATTTCGTGTGTCTTACCACACTGTTATTGTATTATGCTGAATTTGTGAATTTATTGTTCATTTGAGTTAATGTCATTTGATACCTCGTGAGCGCACTATATTTATTTACACGAATACAATAATAGAATTTGACAATATCCTGTGTTCGTGTCGTTTCTTGTTGCGAACCCCTTGTTTGGGTTTGGGTCAACGGATAGATTCCAGTCTGTCCGTCATCCGACTTTAGACCCAAACTCGGCTGTAACAATAAGCTACAAATTAATTAATATGCACATACAGATATCAACCGAAACTGCACATCATACCAGAGAATGTATGGTACACATGTATACAACATGATGATGAGTGGGGCGCTATATTCCTTACCTTCATATTGGTTTTCAGTAATCTTGACTGTTATCACATATTTTTTATCTTGCTGATCAGGGTCAATGTTAGTGAAAATAATTTGCATTCGTTCACCTGCAAATAACAGATGAATTACATTGTCATGTTTACTTTACAAATTGGTAATGACAGAATCTAAACTTTACGCAATTACAAAACTATGTACGTGCCCCATGACATAAAATGTGTCAGGAATCAACTGCTTATATAAGTTCTATGACCATTGTGCAGCATTCAGTTTGATGTGGGTTCCATGATTTTCAGCATTTCTAAAAGTTGGCTTCCCACATGATTATGTGTTTTGGAATTTCATTTGCTAACACTAATGAATAGTGCTTTGACATGAATGCATTCACAAAGATTCACTTGTTTTGGATTTAGAAGTTAGAATATTTAAGCATGTTTTCAGTCGAATGCCGAATGCCATGACATGTTTGACAGAAATTGGTTGATGTATGCATGCCTGCCTGTCTGATAAATGACTGACTGTCAGGCTGAACTAATATTAATAATTTGGCTACTTTAACCAAAATACAATCAAAGAGGTTCTAATTTGTCATTTTTTATAGTGAAGTCATACTTACCTCACACCAATCAATAATGTGTTGATTGTATGTGCAATCAAGGTCGTGCCATGCCATACTCTTTATAGATTGGTGTAAGGTAAATATGGCTTAATGTAAGAAAATAAATTCATGGTATGCTGGGTTGAATAGTGCTGCAAGTCAGTCATAATAGATATACATCAAAATGAATGTATCTATTAATCATTTTGAATTGACAGTTGTTTGTACCAACTTAAAAAAAATTTTGAATCATCTGTTTCAGAATTATTGGTACATCAACTTGGGACAAAAAGGGAGATTATGCTCGTAGTGATAAAAGAAGTATGTTACTAACCACTTAATTTTTTGAACTCCAGTGCCAGTCTGTCTTGAAAATACTCTGCAGCTCTCTCCAGTTCTTCAGCTCTTGACTTCACCACTTTTGTCCTGGTTTGCACAACTGGAAATAAAATTATGAACTAATCTGTCAGGTCATTTACCAAGCATATTTAAAGTGCCTGTGCAATGCCCACCCACACGTTTCTCATTTTAGATCCGTGTCCCACTGAAATGGGCAGTTATTGATTTTTTTTGCTAAAAATAATTACTAGTATCCAAGTATATTTGAGTGTTCCTCGTGCTGTAGCCATGCCCACCTAACCTGAAACGGTAGACTGTTTCCGGATTTCTGACAGTTGCCAAAAGTGCGCCACCAAATGCCAAAATATGAGAGGAAGTCATACCCCTGAACCGTCATTCAATATACTTTTAAACGATACAAGTTTCTTTTTTTTTTTGTTTCTTTTTTTTTTTTGAGAGAGAGTTTTTAGATGTTGTGTTGTGGGCGGTTGCAGTGATATGTAGAGTCATAGTGAAAGTATTAACATGTTTCCAATCGTAGGGAAGGAGAGACATCAGTGGATGAAAGCCGTGAAAGCAACGAGAAATGGTTGGGGTGGACCTTCTCCTTACAGCAACATATATAGTTTCCACTTCACCTCAGATTTTTGTTGTTGAAAAACTGTCCTCGTCCAAGAGAAATGGCGACAACTTAACCTGGCGCAACACTTCTGAAAGAAAGAAATTCCTGACCAGCCCATGATCACCGAGGCGGATTTCAGAAGTGAGAGAGACGTCGCGCAAGTATTTCAAATGATTTTTTTTTTTTTTGTGATCCTGATTTTTTTTATAGAGACCATTTAGTCCGTGTTAAGTAAAAGGTAGCAATAATTTTAATAGTGACATGAAAACGAAGCGTCGGACAAACAGGAAATTACACAGCCCTTACACACTGCTAATTGCTTTCATTTTCGCAGGCTAAAAGTTTCTGAATTGTTGGGTGATTGATGTTGAATGTCGAATCATGGAGCTAAAAATATGGTCGAATTCACACCTCTGTTACCTTTACTTGCAGCTTGATCTGCGTAATAATTTATGAAATAAGAATCTGGGCTTGAGCTGTCAATGTTTCCACCAAATAAAGTTTTAATATGTCGTCATAATTATGACAATCACGCTATGGATCACGCTAACTGAATTTATCTGTATGTGTGTTGTTCTTGATTATTTTTGTTATCCAATTAAACGCCGCCTTTAACACACTTGTCATTGTCATGACCCGACGCGTTCACCCATTTCAACAAAATGTTAATTTATTTCCACGCGGCTGTCATTTATTTAGTAAATGTGATTTGTCATTTTTTTTTAATTATTTCTCTATTTTATTGATCACTATAGTTTAATGTTTAGAATGTCAAAATATGTTCTCTTTTTGTTTTTATTTTAGTTTTTAAAATTTTTTCTTTTACTCAAACGATCGATGAAATGAAACAGTGTAGTGACGTGCCTAGTAACCTGCAAAATAACGAGACAATTCAGGCGTCAAATTTGATTTTGTCCAGTGCTGGGGACCAGTAACAGTGTAACAGCTACACCAGAACAGACACATTTCACATATAACCATGCAACAAACTTAATACTATGTGTTCTTTATTGTCCATTCTTCCTCAACGACCAATTACATAAGTGACAATTTAGTCAAAGACTGCACTGCAAAACTGCACAAGAAATTTGCCTTATTTACACGTATCGGCAATGCATGCTACCCAGCGAGTTCCCCTTCTGACGTCAATTTCTGTATGCAAATGAGAAGCTAATGAGGAGCCTCGTTTTAAAATACACAAAAATAAGTCATTGAAAATGACACAGTCCTCGTTAAGTTCTCTTTGTGCCCGTCATATTAAAGAAGAGGGGTTGTCTCGAGTGTGTCCTTGAAACTTGAGTTCCA